TCAACAGGTGTTGCACAGCGCGGTTCATTTGTTCAGCCTGGCCATTAGCTTCTGGATGATTTCCAGAAGTCATCTGCAGTTGAGTTCCTTGTTCAACTGCAGCGGCCTTCCACAATTCACTCGTAAACCTGACGTCCCTGTCACTGACAATTGACTTCGGCAGTCCAAAGTCTCTGACCCAGTTCTCTTTAAATAACTTGATCACGTACTCGGTCTTTGCTGTTTCTGGCATAGCTATTAATCTAGCAAACTTACTAAACCTATCCACGATGACAAAGATCTGTCTCATCCCACTCTTGCTGGTGACCAGCGTATCCATAAAGTCCATGGACAAACTTTCACCCGGCCTTTCCGGAATCGGAAGGGGCTTGAGCAGCCCAAAAGGAGCCTGAGTACGGGGCTTGTCTCTTTGCCATACTTGACAAGTTTCCACGTACAGATGTGCATCTTTCATCATCGTGGGCCACCAGAACCGCTGCAGCAAGTTGGCCGCATTCTTTTTGTACCCAAAATGGCCGGTGGCATCATGACACTCACCTAAAAACAAACTACGCAAAGACTCGCTATTTGGAACACACAAGCGTTTATTCCCTGCCTTCTCTAGGAACAGCAATCCATTGACCAACTCAAACTCGGCGGAGGTCTTCTTATCCTTCGCCTCTAGTCTGCGTATGATCTCAGACATAAACTGGTCCTGACGATAGGCTTCCACCAAAGACTGAGTAACATCGTCCGTCAGATCGAACTCAGTAATCAGCGCACCTGAGAAGTCCGGTCTGCGCGATAAGGCATCAGCAACCTTGTTGTACTCCCCTTTGAGATACTGAGGGTCAAAGTCATATTGCTCAATGACTTCGATCCATCGCTTGAGAGCATCTGAGAGTACCGGTTGTGTTCTCATCCATCTCAGGGTCTGATGACCAGTCCGGAGGAAGAAGAACCGCCCAAGGAGATAGTGTCTCCAATGGGTGAGAGCCTTGTACACCGCATAGAGTTCCTTCTCATAAGTAGACTTAGCCAACTTCTGAGACGACATTTTCTTGGACATGTACTCAACTGGCCTCAACTTTGGCCCCTCCTGCTGCGCAAGCACGGCGCCAATGCCATATTGGCTAGCATCCGTGGTTACTATAAATGGCTTATCAGGATCGGGTAGCTTCAAGACTTCATAGTGCGTCAATGCATGCTTCAGATGTCTGAAAGCAGCCTCGCACTCATCTGTCCACTCCCACGGGGTGTCAAGGCGGGTCAGATCAGTCAAAGGAGCGGCCACAATGCTATAGTTTTTTACAAGAGTCCGGTAGTAGCCTGTCATTCCTAAGAAAGATCTCATCTCAGTCACAGACTGAGGTCGTGGCCAATCACGAATGCTGGCCACCTTCGCGTCATCGGGCTTCAACCCTTCCGCGGAGATCTCATGACCCAAGTACAAGATACGGGTGCGGCCAAACTCGCACTTTTCATCGTTGATCTTGAACTTGTGCTGTCGCAGGAGACTGAGAACTTTGTCTAAGTGTGCTACGTGCTCCTCGACAGTCTTTACTAAAAATAAATATGTCATTGAGGTACACGACGACAAACTTATCCAAGTAGTCATGGAATATCCGATTCATAGCGTGCTGAAAGGTGCCAGGAGCATTGCAAAGGCCAAAAGGCATCACCACAAACTCGTACAGACCGTACCTGGTCTGAAATGCGGTTTTGTGTTGATCCTCGGGCCGGATTGCAATCTGATGGTACCCGGACTTCAGATCTATTTTACTGAAGTACCGACACCCTTGCACTCTATCTAACAGATCATCGATGCGCGATAGGGGCTCTCTGTTCTTCACAGTGATGGCATTGAGGCCCCTAAAGTCAATGCACATCCTGAGAGTTCCCTCCTTCTTCTTAGGCACGAATAAAACTGGAGACCCATAAGGAGAGACACTCGGTCGGATCCATCCCTTCTCTACGAGTTCCTTGAGTTGGCGGCGAAGCTCATCAAGCTCGCCTGGAGACATCCGATAGATCCTACCCCTTGGAATTCTAGACCCTGGGATAATCTCTATCGCGTGGACGACCTCCCTCTCAACAACCCCTGTCGGCTCTTCAAATAGATCAGGGTACTTAACAACTACTCCCTCTATCTCTGGCGGCATTTTCACCGGCTCGCCTGCAGCAGAGACATAGACTAAGTACATACCTCCTCCTGATTTTGCTTATAATAATTATAGAACGCGGCCGCACACATGCACCCATAGGACTCAATCAGACTACTAGCTTTGAACTTATGTAATCTGGCGGTCCCTCCACCTGGCAACGTGTGTTTGACCACTTTTCGGTCCCAGTCAAACTGGGGCTGTGCTACAGAGAGGTAGTACATACCTAGTAACATGTCCATTGGGAGCTCGTCACTCACCAGGAACGAGACACGATGTCTCAAGTCCCCTCCCGCGTACGGGAAAACACACTCTACA